TATATATATATATATATAGCTATATGGATGACTCCACCTACCACAACACAATACATTATCAAAATAAACAGAACTGTCAAAACTCTCCTGAAATACTTTCCATATTATGAAGAAATATGCCCTGTCCATGCCCAAGGTTCCCAGAAGTCTTCCCCACCTATACCAGTGTTAGGCATTTTTTCTGAAAGTACAAGTAACAGAACTCCTGAGCCCAGCTGAAAAACCCCCTTTTCCACCCTAGAGGTTTTGAACCCAGAACAATTTCCAATATATGAAATAAATTATAAGATTTCTTTAGAGGCTGGAAGAATGCCTGTCTAGCAAGTACATGGATCCCCAGTACCCCAAGAGGAGAGGGAAGGGGAGCAGGGCAGAGCAGAGGGGAAAAGAAGAGAAAGAAAGGAAGGGGACAGTCTTTAGCAAGTGCCTCAGTTTTGCAATGTAGTGCCTGGACCAGAAAGATATGCAGGAAGCTCAGAGCATATATGGTTTCTGAGATAAATCATGGAATTAAGATAAATACTGGAATTCACCATTTTATTATATGATATAATTTACTTTGTAGTTGTATGGAATAGTAATATTTTAACCAGGTATACAGCTATGCTGGTATGTACTTCATAATGATTTAAATCTGGGAGATTCTCATGTCCTATGCTGATTTTGAAAATGACACTAAACTCCATGAGGCTGTAAACCTATTTGACCAGACATCATTGTGTAACGTTCTGTATAAGAAGGAAATATTCTTCTAAAGCCTATAAAGCACCATATGAAGAGTATTAAAGGAGGGCAAGTTGAAAAATATTATATTTAAACTATACTCTGTATAGTTATTAAAAATAATATAAAAATGGCATGTACTAGCCAGGCACTGTGGTACGTATATGTACCCAGCTATTTGGGAGGGTGAAGCAGGTGTATTCCTTGAGCTCAGGAGTTCAAGACCAGCCTGGGTAACATAGTATGATCCCACTTCAAAACAAACAAACAAAAAACTTAAAGAAAATACAAAATAGCATCTACCATATTAGGTACAGCATGACAAAGCTATCATCCTGTAATATTTTGTTTTAAATTCTTTCTGAATATTCATTATCAGAATGAACTGAAATTGAAATCCTATACATTTTTCTATTGTGTAGTTCTAGTACTATTCAATAGTTACAGAATACAGCATTTCCCTGCAAATGAAAGCATTATTATACCTTATGATGTCCATTTACAACAGCATCATGTAGGGGAGTGATCTGGTACATTCCTTTGATATTTACATCTGCTCCACCTTTTAATAGTTCATTTGCTGTTCGATAAAATCCTCCCACACTAGCTTCATGAAGTGCTGTCCAACCTATACAAAACGGAAATCATATCTGTTTATATTTGGCATCTTAACACTGTTTTGTACTTGACCTTTAAAAAACTTTAATTTTAGAAGGTTTCTTTAAAAACATTTTGATTATACAGTTTACATAGTATAATATATAATAAGGTCACCATGCATGCACTCTGTATAATTTGGAAGATTCAATAAATCTGAGGGACAAATCAAATTCTTAACCCTCAACTCCATTTCAAGAAATATGAAAAGTCAAATATTTAAAGTGCTCTTGTCTCTGCTATATAAAAAGTTGTGTAGGTCAATTTTTAGCTAATAAAGCATATGGGCTGTGGGCTACTTTTCGGAAGAAAAAGAGAGGGAAGGCTTTATTTCTACTTCACTGTACTTCCATTAAAGTAATTCAGGCAGCAAGACTATATTATGAGTCAGTTCAAAGGTATATATTTTTATTTCTCCTTATTTGCAAATATATTTATTTATAGTAGTTCAACTAAAAAAACCACAAACTGCCCCAAGAAAACCTTTTGTCCTTATATAAAACAGCCTCTGCTTTGTTAGCCAGAGACAATGATATAAGGTTGTTAAATTCTAATCATATGAGAGATATGAGAGAACCTAAAAAAGTTTATTTCAGTTGGTCTTTTCACAACCTTCTTCAAGGTTTTATAAATCCAACCTTTTATATTAAATGTTAATTGAATAATTAATTTTCAATTAAAGGAAGAGTGGCAGAATGAATACAAAAGGCAAAACTATTAAGTACAAGAAATTTTAAATTTAAAGACATGGAAAATAAAAGGATGAAAAACCAGTTAAGCTATAAATACAAGATGGCTAAGATGTCTGTATATCATATATGGCAGACTTCAAGAAAAAAATGTATTTACTAGCAATGAAGACAGACATTTCACAACAATGAAAAGAATCATTTTATCAGACAATCTGTGAATCACAACTATATAAGTATCTAATAATAGAACTTAAAAATATAAGCAAAAATTGACTGAACTAAAGGGAGAAATATACAATTCCACAAGCAAAGTTGTGAAGATTTTAATACCTCTCTAAGGAAATGACAGATCAGCAAAACAAATCAATATCATACAAAGTATATATTTTCACTATATATTTTATAGTCAAACCAGAAATCAGTAACAGAAAGATATCAGGAGAATTTCCAAATATTTAGAAATTAAACAACTTCTAATATAATCACTAGATGGAGGACAAATCATACAAGAAATTAAAAATACTTCAAATTGATGACACTACAAAAAAGAATCTAAATCTGTGGGATGCAGCTAAAGCAGTACTTAGAGGAAAATGTAAAGGATTAAATGCTCACAATAGAGGAAAACGATTTTAAAACTAGACAATCTCATTTTTATCTTAAGAAGCTAGAAAAATAGTGATGTGAGCAAGATGGATGAGTTTAAGTGCTTGGTCTACTTTTTTCCAAAAAAAAAAAAAAAAAAAAAAAAAAAAAAAAGATCAGGGCCGGGAATTTAGCTCAGTGGCATTGTACCTCCCTCACATGTACAAGGTCCTGAGTTTGGCCCCTGGTACCAAAAAAAAAAAAGACCAAAACAAAGTAAAAGTAATGTCTATTCCACTGAAGTGTTTAAGGCAGAGTACAGGAATGTGTTCAGATGTGACAGAGATATTGTGGACCACAGAGACCCAGGAGGGCATCATAGTAAAGATAATTAAGCATACAGCATCTACTGTCACACTTCCCTGGTCAAAACCATCCCTGAATCAAGATGGACTTCACAGGGCAGGGAATAGGTAAGCAGGAGGTCCTCAAGGATAACTAATAATGTCATTGACACCTAATGTAGGCAGGGGATTTAATTCAGTGGTGCTGTCACCTGCCTCGAAAGGGCAAGGTCATGAGTTTGATGCCAAATACCAAAAAAATAAATAAATAAAAGATTTTGGGCTGGGGATTTAGCTCAGTGACTCCGCCACCTACCTCAAAAGTGCAAGGTCCCAAGTTTGATCCCTGGTACCCCCCCGAAAAAAAATCTAGACACCTGGAGTACTTGCTGTTGGAAGAAGCCTGCCGACCTCACAAGTCTTTAACTATGAAAGGCACACTATAAAATTGGTAGAGGCAAAAGATATGCCTAATGTACAAATACCAACCAGGGACACAGAAGCCTGGAAGAAGCAAGGCAGTGTTACACCTCCAAAGAAACTCTGCAGAACACTAAGGTGTAGCTCCAGGTTGACCCTGCAGAGTGTGGAGTATAGCCCACCATTGGGCACCTGGCTAAGAAACTCAGCAGTCCTCAGGAAGAGAGGTAACAGAGAAGAGAGAAGCTCTTTTGGGTGGCTGAGGAAGAGAGAGGGGCTGGGGAGGTAGCTTAGTGTCCAGATAGTCCCACCCTTGGGCAAAGGAACTCTGCAATAACTCTGTAGCACCAAACCCTAAAAAAAACGAAATCAGTTGCATAAAAAAGAATTAAAAATAGTGCTATTATGGAAACTCAGTGAGATAAAAGAAAATGCAGATAAATAATTCAACAAAATCAGGAAAACAACTCATGATATGAATGAAAATTCAGCAAAGAGAGGTGATCATAAGGAAACAGAACTTTTAGACCTGAAGAATAAACATAACAGAAAACGTAGTTGAGTCTCAATAACATACTAGATCAAGCAAAAGGAAACATTTCTGAGCTTGACGACAAGTCTTGAAATAATCCAGTTAGAAAAAAGAAAAAAATGCGTAAAAAAAAAAACCCACACAACAGGATTATACATTCAACATCTTTAAAGGAAAAAAAAATGCAAACCAAGAATATGATACCCAGCAAAGCTATCTTTCATGAAGAAAAGAGAAATAGATTTTTTTAAGATAACAGAGAGAGAGAGAGACAGACAGACAGACAGCGACAGACCAACAGAAAGAGACAGACCAAGACCAACACCTTGAAACTGAAATATATAGTGAAAGTATAAGAAATGTTTAGGGGAGTTCTACATCAAGAAGAATGGTGGACTGGGGATTTAGCTCAGCGGTGCTGCCATTTGCCTTGCAAGAACAAGGTCCTGAGTTTGATCTCCGGTACAAAAAAAAAAGAATGTTAAGTACTATTACAAAATTTTAAAAAAGAGCCAACTGCTCTTCTACAAATGTTTCAAATATATTCCCTGGAGAAAGAACAGTCCTTTCAATAAATGATGCTGGGAAAACTGGACATCCATATGCAGTATTGAGGGGAGTGTGGCCAGGAGTTAATGATTAAACTGTAGGACAAAAGCACACAGGATCTATAAGGAGTGAATGGTTAAAATACAGGGCAGAAGCACACAAATAAATTCCCGCCAAATGTATGGAAGCTCTGTGAGAAGTCAATAATTAAACCGTGGGGCAAAAAGGCTCTGTGAGGAGTGCATGGTTAAACTATGGGACAAAAGCACACAGGCCGTGTGAGAACTAACAGTTAAACAAGAAATCCAGATTAGTGAAGCATGCTGTGTGTGACCACTGTTCTTCCCCTTTCCTCAAGAAAAACTGCTTAGCTTTGAGCTAACTCCTGGCCCAAACTGCTTTTCTCCTACTTTTCTCTCTTTCACTGATAGTCTAAATAACAGCCAGGAAGTTCTCAGCTTGGTGGCATTTTTATTTATTTATTTTTTCTCCCAGAGCCTCCCTAATGACTGAGAGCTCTTGGTTGAGAGACAGATCCTATGGGTCTCTTGGTGATTGAAATAAGTCTCTTCTCCAAGTAATCTTTCATCCCACCCATGGTCATTCACTGCAACACAGTATAATGAAACTATTTCATCAAACATAAACAGGAAAAACTTCAACACAGTGGTATAGGCCAGTGCTGGCGAACCTAGGGCACACGGTGCCACAGGAGGATTTTTTTCACCATCAATGGTATAGACAATGATCTTTTTAGACAAGAACCCCTCCCTCAAAGCAAAAACAGACAAAATGGGGTTACAGCAAACTAAGAAGCTTCTGTATAGAAAAACAAATAAACTATCCAAAAAATAAAACATTTGTAAATGATTAGTTTAAGAAATGATTAATATCCAGAATTTACAAGGAACTAAAAAAACCTCAGCAGCAAAAAAAAAAGCAAACAAAAAATTCAATTTTAAAATGGGCAGTGGGTGGGGATGTAACTAAGTGGTAGAGCACATGCACAGAATGTGCAAAGGTTCAATTCTCAGGCCCAAAACCAGATAAAATAAAAATTGGCAAATGATGGGCTTGGGATATAGCTCAGTGCTGGAGTGTTTGCAAGGTCGCTAGGTTTGATCCTTAGTAATGTGCACATTTGTGCATACATAACATGCTCTCTTTTGTGCAGGTGCGCACATGCACACACACACACACACATACTCGAAAGTGCTGAAGAGACATGTCTCAAAAGAAGACTGACAAATGGCTAAGAGGTATGTGAAAAATGTTCAGCCATCATTAATCAGGAAAATACAATTCAAAAATTACCATGAGATATAATCTCACTCCAGTCATAACAGACAATCAAAAGGGACAGAAATAACAAATTCTTACAAGGATGTGGAGAAAGGAGAACTATTATATACTACTGGTAGGGATGTAAATTAGTATACGCATTATGGAGAACAAATGGAAGTTCCTCAAAAAATGAAAAGTATAACTACTATATGATCTAGCTATCTAACCACTGGGTATATGTCCAAAGGAAACAAAATCAGCACATCAAAGAGATAGCTATACTCCCATGTTTACTGTAGCACGTTCATAATAACCAAGATATAGAATCAACCAAGCTGGCCATCAATGAATGGATATAGAAAGTGTGCAAGAATACACACACACACACACACACACACACACATGTACTGTATTTACAATAGAATATAATTTATCCCTAATAAAAAAATGAAATCCTGTAATTTGAGAAAACATGCATGAACCCAGAGCACACTGTGTTGTTAAATAAGCCAGGCATAAAAGACAAGTACCACATGATCTCACTTATGTGTGAAATCTAAAAAGGTTGATAACATAGAGGACAGAATGGTGATTACCAGGGTCTAAGGTGTTTAGTAGAGAGGGTTGTGGTAATGTTGGTCAAAGAATACAAAATTTCAGTATGACAGTCCGTAAGTTCAAGAGTTCTATTGCACGACATGGTGACTACAGGTAGTAATATACTGTACTCTTAAAAAAAGAGAGTGGGTGTAATAATATATCATGTTCTTGAAAAAAGAGTGGGTGTAGAGTTCTCACCACAAAAATGTAAGTATGTGAGGTATTACATAGATTAATTAGCTACATTTAATTATTCCACAATGTATATTTTAAAACATTGTACTCTACAAAGTAAGTATATAAAATGTGATCTGTCAATGTAAGAAATAAAATTTTTAAGGTTTTTTTTTTTTTTGGTACCAGGGATTGAACTCAGGCCATTGCACTTGAAAAGCAGGCACAGTGCCACTGAACTAAATAAATACTTGGCCTAGTATTTTTAAATTTGTACAAGACACAGGGTTACAATATTGATGTATGTCTTAATGCAGCAATGTCAAAACTCATAAAAGTATGAACTACACTATCATCTACAATACATGGTCCACAAAAATTTACTCACCATTTTTTGTTACCTGATTCTTGCTTTGCTATTGGTTTGAGTGTCTTAACAATGTTGTGGATTGTGTCAACTGTTTTTTCAGTCCTAATGTGTTACAGGCATAAAAAACAGAATTCTGTATAAAATAAAGCTCAGTGCACTAGTCGGAGAGGGGTTTAGTAAAAAGCCTTTATGAGATCCATTCTGAGTATTCAGAGTTTTGTTCTAGCCAATTTCCTGGTTGTCACCTGTTTTTTGATAGGAAAAGAAATTACTCAAAAAACCTTTAATCAGAAGCACAGATATTAGTTGGGCACTGTGGGACACAACTATAGTCTCAGCTACTGAGGAGGGTAAAGAAAGAAGATTACTTAAGCCCACAAGTTTGAGATCAGCCTAGGCAACATAGATCTATGTGGAAAAAAAAGCAAAGATATTATAAAAATAAGGAGCTATAAAATATAAATGTTACCTATGAAAAGGCAATGAGTTTGTTATTACTATATTTTGTCCATTTCTTACAAGGCATTTAGCTTTACTGGAAGGGAGGTGTATAGTAAAAACACGTTTAAACTTTTTTTAGAATGTATTAATCTTTTTGTTGATAAAACATCTGGCACACAGGAAACAATACAAAAGCTCACTATGTTGAGCTGATAAGTTTTGTATCTCTTACCAGTAGTTTTAGTTTTAAGAACATAAAAATGAATTAGGTCAACTTGTTAAAATACAGATTTCCATGTTTAAATCTATAAATTTTGACAGTGTGTGTTTATATACATACACGCATAATAATGTGTATGTGGAGGTGAAATGATAGTTGCATTTCATACAAACTCTGTAGGCATTTCTGATGAAAACAGTTTGCAAATGACACTGTGGAAGACTTCCCTCTATAAATATGAAGGGGGGAGTAGCTAGAAAAAAACAGGTAAGATGAAACATGAAAAGGAAAAGTAAAGACTAACAGTTCAAAAAGCCTGGGAAATAAGAATAGAAAATTCATGAAGGTCACAGAAGTACCTAAAATGCAGAGAAAACTGGCTAAAGACAATCAAGGAATGGCTATAGAGGATATAAAACTAGCACAGAAAATTAGAAGCTAATGAAAAGAAGTATGGGAAATACTTAATCAAAGTTAGCTGCATATAGAACAACTCCTGGACTCAATGAGCAGACAAAGAGTGCTAACAGAAAAAATACATAGTTCCTAAAATCAAAGGAGCAAATGTTCTGGTTAAAAATAAGTATTCAAAAGTGAGAGTTACAGGACAGTGATGGCAACCATAGTGTAGATTTAAAATAGCATCCTGTTAAAACCTTGATTATAATGTAAAATACAGCCTTTTTAACATAGGTACTAAGAAGAACACCCATAATCACTTGCTTTTTCAGGGACTGTGCTATACTAGTTCTGCACTATAGACTTTTTGCACTATTTTACAAAGTGAGAAAATCTAGAAATAAAAGAAAAAATACAAACACCCAAAAGAAGTATCCAGTCTGGCTCAGTGAAGTGCAATGCAACGAACTGTCAGGTTCTTCCCACAAGGCAGACTATGTGAGAGATGCAACCTTAAAGAAAAACTGCTGTATTTCTGAGCTCCCTTTCCCACCATTTCTACCTCATACTCTATTCTCTCCCCTTCCCTGGCCACTATTTTTGCTTATACAGTACAACCTCAGAGTTAAGTTCTTCCACATCATGAATTTTCCCTGTGTACCATCAATTTCTTCCTCCACTTAAGGCTGAGTCTCACAGATAATGACCATGCAATGCTAGCCCCAGGAACCATCTTTCTTCCTGCACCAACATCTTATACATAGCCCATTTGGCCTAATTTCTGAAGGAGAAATATAATGTTTTTCTGCTGCTCACCACCCTCTTAATTTCTTCCCTGAGATATAGATAATAGTAATAGAGCTCCTTAAGCAGGAAAATAATCAAAACTTTCTGTTTAGAATTTACTTCAGGCCCACTTTGCTATACTTTCATAAGGGTGATTCAGCTAATCACATCCTCAATACAATGAGTAGTAACTCTAACTTACCGGCATTACTTGGCTGATTAACATTTGCACCTTTTTTTATACAACAATGAACAAGATCAGCATCATCATATAGAGCAGCCTTATACAGTAAGGTTTCTCCAAAAATGTTTCTCCGATTTATGCTAGAGAGAGGCATTTTATTAATCTTCAGTTTTTCTGAAATCAGAGAATAAACACAAGAAAGGAACTTGTATTTGAAGATCAGGATGAAGAGAAGTAATTAGATAAATCCAGTCAATACTCTGGAAGTAAGGAATACTGTATATTATAAAAGTATTTCACCTATTAATCCAATTATAATGTCATTTACATACAAATGGAGAGTGTTGTAGTAGGGCTTGCAAGGGAAACAGATTTAACACAGGACCCAATTTATATGTTATTTTATAACCGTCACCCAAAATGTCAAATGCAGAGAAATGCAACAGATTAGCCACACATTAGAGACCCAAAAAATACAGCCAAGGCCTGAATCCCACAACAATGTCCCACGCAAGTTACGCGAAAGGCCTCCAGTCCAAGGCAATGTTCTCTACAAGTCCAGTCAGTGGCCTAGAGCCCATGGCAATGTCAGCTGCTTGTCCATATTGAGAATCTGCATCTGGAAGACCCAAACGACAGAGGTGGAAGCCAGAAAACCTCTGCCAGTAGGTGAAGGATTTGTGCCACCAGGCTGAGGGATCTACATTGGAGCCAGGAAGTGACACAGTGAAGATCAGAGCTCTCCTGATAAGAACAGCAGCCATTCCCAGCAATAGTGAGGACCTGAGCTCCTCCTCTGATGAGAACAGCCACGTTAGCATCTGGAAAACCAATCACAGCAAGCTTCTCCTAGAAAATCAACAACCCTGATCTTCCCCACTCCAGTTCTCTTACTATGCTACTGGCAACAATTGTCAGGTGGGTTTTCCATGACCAGACCAAGCTGATCATTAGTTAATCCACCACAAAGAGATAAATGTAATTGGTTTTCAATATTAGTGAATTAAAATAATGATTTTTTTTTTTTGTCTTTTGTTTTTGAAACTGTTTTGTGTGGCAGTACTGCAGATGTAACCCAGGGCCTTGTGCTGAGCTACATCCTCAGCTCACTGTTATTTCAGGATCTCTTTCAATTGCCCAGGTTGGCCTTAAACTTGTAATCCTCTGCCTCAGCCTCCTGAACAGCTCACAGTATTGGAGTGCATCATCACAACAGGTCTTACGTAGATGATTTAGTGTCGTTTTATAACATTCTCATAGCTATCCTCCAGCTTTATAAAAAAAAAACAATGAACAAACATCTTTTTTATTGAAATAGAGAAGTGCTCTGCTTACAATGATGAAATATTTCCAGTCAAGAAGAAGTTTCTTCTATTCAGTTGTTCTTTCATTTGTTTGTTTATTTATTTTTGTACCAGGAATCAAATTCAGGACCTTGCACTTGCCAGGCAGGTGCAGGCCCACTGAGCAACATCCCCAGCCTTATTTATTCCTTTATTAAAACTGTCCCTCAGCAGAAATTTTAAACTTTCTTTTTATAGGTACAGCATAGTTCTTATTAGTTATGAAAATAAACATTTTTTCTTTGTAACAATTATGAATGAGATCTCATATTGTTTAGTTTGTATTTATATATTAAAGGTATTAATTTTTAAAACTTTTCTTTTGATTTATTGAATTTTTGTAAATTTTACTGTATAATAAATTCCAACTTAACAGAAAAGTTGTAAAAATAGAACAAAGTGGGCAGGGCTATAGCACTGTGGTAGTGCACTTGCTCAGCATGTGCAAGGCATTAGGTTTGATTCCCAATACTACAAAATTTTTTTAAAAAAGGATTCATTCATTAACATTGCCATAACTTTACATCATTCCACCTCCCTCTTTATATATGCATATGCACACACAGCACATATATATATATATATATAAATAGAAGTACAGAAAATGGCTAACTGTATACATGTCCTTTACCGCTGATATTAAATTGTGCATTTTCTAAGAATATGGATATTTTTTATTTAACTAATTATCAAATTCACAAAATTTAACAAAAAAGTCCATATTTCAATTTTGCCCATTTTCCCACAATTATTTTTCACCCAGTGTTTCTACATTTTATTATAACTGAAAGTTTTTAGTTCAACCTTTTAGGTTTCATAGGAAGAGAAACAATACCTAAAAATAAGAATTTGGCCTTGTTCTTTCCTCTAGTGTTCATTATTCTTTCTTACAACTTTTTGTTAGGCTGTTCACACAACCTAAATTTGAAAAGAATTTCACAGCTACTCTCTCCAAAATAGAATTATGGAAAAAAATACCAGCTTATGAGATAGAAGTTCAGGATCAAATCCCAGTTATGCTACTAATAATCTGTGTGATGCTGGGAAAAGCCTTACCATCTCTGAAGTTCGGTTTCCTTAACAGTAAAGGAGAACAGATAACCTTTGAATGTTTTCTACCAAAATTTTGTTTCTATAAGTAACTTAAAGAAATAGAGAAATATAAAATATGCCTCACCTTTTTTTAGTATAAGTCGTTCATTTTTCCTAATCTGTTCACCCTTGAATCTGGAGGACTGCATATTCTTCTTTTTATCTTCAATCATTAAAACAGGAGCCTTCATTCTTAAAAATTAAACATATTTTAAATAACTATAATTTTTTGCAAGTATTCATGGAAAACCCTACCAAATTTTGACTAAAGTTTTAAAACTGAAAGGTATTTTACTGAACTGTTCTCAAGGGGCAAAGCAATTTTAAATATGGAGTAAGCTGTAGATAATTCTGTGACAGACATGCCCAGTCTTGGTAGCTTCTAGCTCTTTGTGGTTCTCTCCCTTAGGTTTAGTCACTTACAACTATGAGTATTTTGAGACTCCTGCTCCTCACTCCCCAAGTCGGTGTGCTCCTATCTATCCTGTTCACCTACTAGGGAAAAAGAGACAGGCTTTTCATGAGAATAAAGGGTTTGCTATATATGGTACAACACTAATCAAAAACTGTAGAATGAAAAAAAAGGAACATTTTAAAAAGCTTTTTATTTAGGGGTAACTTTTAAATGACCCTACCATCCCCAGTATATAATTATCTAGTAGGTCTATAGACTGTATAGAGAGAAAGATGTAATTGGATGGCATACCTGAAATTCTCAATTGATTTATTCTTTATTTGATCCTCGCAACTATGCATTTTTGGTACAATCTTTTCTGGAATCTTACACATGTCCTCTGTACACTTTGCATCTTGGCTTACTTTCAGTTTTTCCAATCTAGATGATCTCCGTAACACACGTGGGGTTTCGTGGTCAGAACCATTATCCATGGGATTTGGATTCTTATTGTTTAGTGGATCACAAGAGCTGACATTTTGATGAGCCAAGTTTGGACATCCAAATGGATTTGAGTCTTTTACAGTCTGTAAAGATATAAATATACCCACAAATAATAATAACAATGAAAAATATTAAAACTAGAAGATTTTTTTTCTTATATGAAACTAAAGTGGCTCTTAGAAGATGAAAATAAATGAAAAACATGGACCATAATGAAAAATTTTATAATAATTATAATAAAATACATATTTAAAATATTTTTTAAAAAGAAAAAAAATCAGTATCATTATAGAAGATTTTTTTTCTTATATGAAACTAAAGTGGCTCTTAGAAGATGAAAATAAATGAAAAACATGGACCATAATGAAAAATTTTATAATAATTATAATAAAATACATATTTAAAATATTTTTTAAAAAGAAAAAAAATCTTAGTATCATTAGTATAAAAATAATTTCATCCTTAAAATTCAAGGGAAAATATAAGATCACTCCTCGTGCTTTAGTTTTGTAGTAAATAAGTAGTATAGAATAATAAGACCCATAAAAACATTACAAATGTCATACAAGACCAGTTAGTTGGTCTACTCACCCTACTATTTCATTATTTGACAGCAGCATAAATGATATTTTGAGACAAGATCATAACCTCCATCATATTGATTTTAAAAGGTTAACAATATCATGAATTGCTCTAATTTACTATTTTTAATCCATTACAGATTTAACTTCCATGAAGATATTTATATTTTTGCATATCATCTATACTATCTTGAGCTGATTTATGTTTCCAGTTTTCAAAACTTCTCAAGGTAAATGCCCATATGTTATTATAGCTGAATAAGAGCATTTAACTTGATCTATGCTAAGTAAATCTTTCTACTTCTAAGAGGATTTCTTTTATTTGAAGACTTGCTAAATTTGTGCTTATTTTATTAATACCAATCATAATTTCCTATTTTATCTACATTCCCTCCTTCCAGATTAGAACACTGCAATATTTAATCTTCATGTCCATATCCATGATTGTTGTCTTGCTCTGAATTTTTTCAGACCTATTACATCTGTTTGAGATTTGTTAACCAGAACTCCTCGCATTATTCCACATGTGTACATGGCAACATGAGCTCAGCATTACATTATTTTAATCTTCTCAGGGATGTTCAGAGAAGCATTTGGTAACAGAGGAGGGGAGGGAGGAAAAAAGAGGGGCAAAGGAAGGTCAGAAAGGAAAATGTAAGGAAAGAAAAGGGACTGGAGGGGAGGAGACTGGAGGAAGGAGAGGAGCAGTGAGGGGATGGGGATAAAAGAATCCAAATAAACATAATTAGTGAGCTGGTTAAATTGTAGTATTTTTATACACTGTAATACTCTTCATCAAGCTAAAAGATTTAAGTTGTGCTACATTTCCTGATACTGAACGATAGCCAAGATACATGATTTTTAAAAAATAAGTTACACAATCTTGTATAATACAATCCTATCTGAATAAAATAAATTTACATAGAATATAACAGAAAAAATTGGAGACAAATATGCCAAATGTCACTAGTGTTTTTTTTGTTTTGTTTTGGTTATCAGAATTCGAACTCAGGACCTTGCACTTACAAGGCAGGGGCGGTACCACTGAGCCAAATTCCCGGGCCTGTTACTAGTTATTTTGAGAGTGGAAATGAGGGGTGCTTTTTGTTACCTATTATGTCAATTTTTTTTTTTTTTGAGACAGTTTCTCACTTTGTAGGTTGTTGACCTTGA